AAACATTAATAACACAGTTACTAATATGATAACACAGTTATTAATATGATAACACAGTTATTAATAACACAGTTATTAATATGGTAAAGAACGAGTAATAATCCGCGATCGAACAAGATACAAAATTTGAGCCATTCCAGTCTTCCTGCCATGTAGCAGCACTACTTGTATACCTGGATTGGCTGAGCCGGTGTAGGAACAGGGGATCGGCACTTTCGGAGTGTTTCTAAACTGGCTGAAGCTCAACAGGGTGCATGTGCACCAGCACCAGGACGCAGGAGGAGGATCGTTTGCCGTGTCGTGTCCTGCGTGCGAAGGGGTAGGGGTGGGGGCGGTGGGGGTGGCTATTTTTTGGCGTGCCTTGTCCTAGTGCGGCCACCGGGGTATCGCCGCGCTGCTCCTTCGCGCTCGCGACGCGTGGGCGTGGGGTAGTGGCGCCGGGGCAACTAGGCAGTGCGGCGCCTGCTGTGATGGTGGACAGCTGACACACACGGCTCATGGCTGACACCTGTCGCAGGCGAGACCGGCGAGACGCCCGCGCGGTTTGGCGGCGTTAAGCCTTTTCCTCCTTCGTCTCCAGAGGTTTGACGCCCGCCGGCGGCGCCTTCAAGTGCGGCCAGGTGCCCCACCCCGACGCGGTGCAGTACGTGGATGGACACGCGGGTCCTTTGTGATTTAGCTGCCAGCAACAGGGAAAAAAGTAGTAATCGACCCGGTCGACTCTCTACGAGCCCGTCGTGATACCGGCCATGATACCGGCGCCTGATAAGACAAGGCCTGGCGAGCAAGGCCCCCGCACACCTCCACCCCGCCCCGCCCCGCCCCGCCACATTCGCGGTTATGGGTGAGGGCCGTGGGGCGTTCAGTCGGCCCGGCGAAGGTCCTGCCCCTGCCCCGCTCGCCGAGGGGCCGTACGACATGGATTCTCCCTCAGCACCGACCATCATCGCCAGCTCGTGTGGTTGACCTGAGTGAGTATGTCGGCCGGGCACTCGGCGTTCGGCCGCGTCGCCATGAGTGTTTAACCGAGGGTAACGAAGAATTCACTTTTTGCAGGAGTCTTTCACCGCACCGCCAACGTTTTCACCCCTTCAGCGTCTTCTGCTGAACCTGCGTCTCGGATCGGATACGTAAACAAGATTGATAAGCAGCTGCCCCATTACATCGGCTCGGTCTGTGTGAGCGCGCTTTGGAGCGGGCGCACGATGAGTAACTCTCTCGACGATTATTGACGCATTCGACCGAAGAGCTATCGAACTCGGTGACCGGTGACTCAAACCGCCCACACAGAAGCCATGGGTCCGAGCCTCACGGGGACGGGGTGCCTCGGGCTGAGCCTGAGCGCCACGGTCATCACGGCTGGGGTCATCACGCTGGTGAGTGCTACCCAGGTAAACCATCGAGAAATCAGTTCTTGGATCGGGATCACCCACCAACCTGCCGCATGCTGCAGCTCGAGTCGGCGGCCTGGATGGGCCTCTCCCTCGCGGCGTACCTGACCTACGAGTGCTCGTATTCAATGCCCGGGGACCTCAGCCTGAACCTCCGCATGGCCTACGTCATGTACTTCCTCAGTGAGTACGCGGCGGGGCGCATTCCTCGCCGACATCCTAACCCACCCTCTCCTCGCTCACAACCGCGCCTTCCTTTCAGACCCAGTGTGTTGGGGGGACAACCTCGACGGGCTCACGCCGCCCGGTCAGAGCAAGGCCCTGGAGGTGACGGGGGACGGGGTGGTGAGCACGGCGTACCGCACCTCCCTGTTCTCCATCGGCTACGCGGTCCTGAGCGCCATGTGGCTCTGCACGTCGCTCCTGCTGTTGGGTAAGCTCGGCCAACCCCGCCCGCCAACACTCACCCGCCATCACCAACCCTCGCCGCTATGCGGCCGCTAAACGCACCCCACGTCCTCCCCCCGCAGTGGCCGTGACCCGCAGCGCACCGGGTCGCAGGGCGGCGCACCTCTGCGCACCGTGGCTGCTGCTCACCGCCGTCACGATGGTGGTGGACCTGGTGGCAACAGGGTTCTATGCCGTCGACGCCGCAGGTTTCAACGTAACGTCATTTTTTTCTTTCTGTTTTTCTTTTTGCGATCACTGTGGATTGCATTGTGTTTGTAACCAGCCACTCTCTCGGTCCGCAGCTCCCCGAAGACCTGAGGACGCACTCCAACCTCGTGGTCCCGTCAGAGTGGTTCGACAACAAGACCGGCCAGGACCTGCCGCTGCACACCGGGGCCATCATCATCTGTGCCGTGGCCGCCAAGGGCGGCTTCCTCTGGCTGCTCAACGGCGTCCTCCTGGTGCACGTGGCGCGCGCCGTCCGCCTGCTGTCCAGGGCGCGGCGCCGCGGCGCCGAGAAGGGGAGGCCGGCCCCGCAGGCGGACACGGCAGGAGACGGCCAGCGTCACAGAGGACCCGGCCCGATGGCGGACGTCGAGAAGCCTGCTACCGAGGTCGCTCCCGAAGTCGCTCCCATGGTCGTGCCTGTGCGCTCCAGGCCCGTGTACCTGCCCGGCGAGATGAGCGTTCCAGTATCACCGAGCAACCAAAGAAGATCCTCGTCGCAAAGGTCCCTCACTCCACCACCGCTCTCACCTACCAGGGTGGGTCAGGGCAGGCTGGCAGAGAGGCCCGTGGAGAGACCAATAGAGAGACCCGTGGAGAGGTCGGTGGAGAGACCCGTGGATAGGGCGATGGAGAGACCCGTGGAGAGGCCGGTGGAGAGGCCCGTGGAGAGGCCGATGGAGAGGCCGGTGGAGAGGCCCGTGGAGAGGCCCGGGGAGAGACCCGTGGAGAGGCCCGGGGAGAGACCCGTGGAGAGGTCACTGCCGCACGAGAGGCAAGTCGAGCAGTTAGACAGACCCGTGGAGATCCTCGGACAAGAGAAGCCGGCCGCCACCCGGGAGGAGATCCTGCACCGCATCGAGAGGATGTCCGTCCTCCGGACGTCCGGCCGCAGCGAGACGCACGGTGTGTCGCCCGCCATCGAGGCCAAGACCAGGGAGATCATGAAAGGGCTGGCCGCGTCGGGGAGTGGGGTGAGTAACAACAACATCGTCAACGAGGCCTCGACGCATTCCCGTTTCCGAGAACGTCTGAATAACTCTTCCACGGTATCAGTGAACGGTGCACGCCGCCGGTAGCCGCGCTGTTAACAGCTTGCGGGACAAGAAGCGTTTCGATAGCAAACCCTATCTCCGACCGTCGTCGTCATTCCGCACTCTAGAACAAAGACGGCAGGCAAAAAAGTACGGGGCCGCGCGAGGTTCTCGTGTCGTTATTGCAGTTACTGCCATATGTATATGGCGAGCTTCGCGGTTTTGTATTACTACACAACAACGTAACTTTCTCCGCCGACAGATTCCACTGGACTACGTGTTCCCCGGTGATGAGCCGCGTCGACCGAACAGCAGGGTAGGTATTACAACAAAGCTGTGGCTGTGAGTGCGCGCAAAATGATTGCGTGGTGCCCATTGCACCTGCACTCGCGGGGGGGAGAGGGATGGGGGAGGGGCGTTGACGCCACCGCCGGCAGCCGCGGCCGCGGCCGGCAGGTGTCAGGTTATCTCCCGAGCGCCGGGTGGGTGGCCTGCCTGCCGGCGCGCCGCGGCCGTCGCGTGTCTGGCTGACACGCGCCCTTTGCCACAGGGAGCGCAGGGCGCCCACCACTACGACGGCCGGAACAACTCCGCGGACCTGGACCCGCCGAGGCTCGCGAGGGAGCTGCAGCGCAGGGACACGGAGCTGGCCTCGCCGCGGTGGCTGGGGCAACAGCAGCAGCAGCCGCTGCCGCGGCCGCGGCGTCTGGACCGCACTCAGAGGTGGGTCCCGTACTGACGAGCACGTCGCGCCATTTGTTCGAACGCTGTCTGACGTTGTCTGTGTGTCCCGCGAACGCGAAGCGACCGAGCGCTCGTGGCAGGCGAGTGGAAGATGACGCCCGCCGGCCACCTCCACGGACTCTCCCCTCGGCACGCCGCCGCCGGGAGGCGCCTCGAGGCCACGGAGGAGCTCAAGAGGGAGAAGCCCTGGTCCTACCTCAGGGTGAGCCTCGTTCACTGCCGCGAAACCGTTTCAATAACCGTGACAAAGATTTGGTCATGATCGAGAGCGTCGCCTTACAGGCCGCAGCGACCGCCCAGGAGGAGCCGGATGAGGACGTGTTTGTGGACGACGCTTACCCCGGCCAGCACTCCCCCAACAAGGTGGTGCGCAACATGTACTTGCGTAAGTGTGCCCTATTCTCGAAGTATGGTTTCCAAGATACCAGCCCTCTTAATATACTATCTCGTTCGCTTCTAACGAATCTTTCGTCCTGGGGAACGAGATACATTAACTTGATCTGTGGCTTGCAGCTCCGACCGCGAGAGACGCAGTTGGTCGCAAAGCGTCTCATGGTGGAAGACGGCGCAAGCAGCAGCGTGAGTA